CCCTCTCTCTCTTTCCCGCTCTCTGTCTCTGTCTCTGTCTCCTACTCCTCCTTTTTCATATCCTTTCATCCCTTCTCTCTCTCATTCTCCATCTCCCTCTCTTTCTTACTCTCTCTGTCTTTCTCCCCCTCCCTCTCTTTCCCTTTCTATAACTTTCTCTCTCTCTCTCTGTGTCCCTTTCTCTTTCTTTCCTTCTCTCTCTCCCTTTCTCTCTCTCACTCTCTCTCTCCCCTCTCCCCTCTCCCCTCCCCCTCTCTCTCTAACATGACAAAATCGACAAGCGTGTGACACAAGCATTCAATTTTAATCCAATCAATCCCAACACATCCCAGCCCCTATTGCTCCAGTCCCTATAGCAGCGCGTCCCCTTCAGATCCCCATCCTCCCGACCCTATACACCTATCAAGCGAAACTTTTCTCTCTCAACACCGCCTAGCTCTCCTCCATCGTCGCTCACCCGCCCCGCAAACCGGCGAACGACGAACCGGCCAGCACGCGCACATCCCTACAGAGCGCCATCCGTGAGTGCACACAGCGAAGCATAGCGTGAGAGAGTGAGCAAAAGTTTGCCGCGGACAAAAACAAGAAATATGTCCGCAGTTTTCTGCTAGGGAGTTTTTACATACATGACGAAAATTCGCTTTGTTATTTCGGAACAAATCTTTCTGATATATATAGTTCTAGTGTTATTTGACCACCCGGCACGTGCGATGATGTCAGTGTCAGCCTTCTAAAGAGGGGGGACTCTGTGAGTCCATTCCTGAGTGCGCGCGTGAAATCTGCCCGTGTAAACATTGTAGGGTTGTGTATACGATGTGTAAACTGTCAAATTGATCTGTGCGAGCTTTTTCTGCTGACCGCAAGCCAAGGGAAAGTGAAAGTAGAACCGAGCTGTGAGAACAAAAGTGTGTCGTGTTTGTGTTTGTGTGTCTGTGTGTATGTGTGTGTGTGTTTACGTGTTTGTGTGTGTTTTCCCCCTGGATAACGTCATTCTGAGAGTGGATTGGGAGCGGAGTTGTCAAGATGGTGTCTCGTCCAGATTTAGACGCTAAGTATTATACATGTAGTCCAAACTTGTCCAACATACAATTAATTTCAACCTGTCACCGAAAGAGGGCTCGTTCTTCTGGATTCTACTGTGAACATATCGTGACCATGTCGGTTCTGATAACCTTAACTGTGTCCACCTTGATATCGGTATCGGTGGCTCAGACCGACACGCCACTTGGTCCCACCAACTTTGACGTGACGACGGTGCCGTGGTTTCGTCCGTCCAGGAGGCCTGTGATGACGCGGTACAACGACACGACATCACCTACGTCAGGGGAGGATGACCTCAGTGACGTCACCACCATGTTCCCGCACTTCCCAGTGGATGACGTCACGACGCCGAGTCCCAGAATCATCCACTCTCTTGGTAAGTCTACCGACACAGGACGGGGGGTCTTGTAAGAGGGGGTATGG